TAATAATGTAATAGAGACAGTTGATTTTATGTCGCTGCTTTTAGATATCGAGATCATACATTGTAATTTTAGGACAATCTTGTATCCAGAGTCGCCAATTGCTCTTTTCTTGAATTGCGTTCGGATACCATTCAAATGCAATGGAAGACTTCGATTAATCGAATTTTTCATAGTGTTTTTGGATTTTTTTACACATTCACCGGATGTGTTTGCCTTTGCGTAGCTTGCCCACTCACATAAGGTTTTTAAGATATTCTTCACAAAAGGCCGGAAATCTTGGCCACCCCCCTCCCCTTCCCCACAAAAGTTGTACCACTATGAAAAGATAATGCGATTCCTGGATACGTCATTTAGTTAGACAATTGCTGATAACATTGCTGATAAAGTCAACCGATTTGACCTTTATTAAAAATGTGCATACTGCATACCACTAAAAGTCAATATCACACTTTGTTACCCTGGACACATACTACTAAGAATCAATAGCTCACTATGTTACCCTGGACACATACCACTAAGAGTCAAYACCTCACTATGTTACCTTGGACACATATCACTAGTGAGTCATAATAATACGATAGTTCATAACTGATAGAGTTAAAGAATTGTAAATCTTTTTAATAAGTTAAAATAAAATTCCCTTGGTAAATATTATATCGTATGTCAATGAGTTTTGTAAAGTGTTTTAATAGTTAGAGGCGCGGTACTTTGTTCCTGGACGAATCACTGTGATTTACTATCATTGAGCAACTACTGCAGAATCGTTTTTGTACTAACCCCTCTCCCCTAAGGTACAGATCTCAAATATTTTTTTTCTTTTTGTTTTTGACGATTTTATTAGGATTGCGGGTTCATAACAATGAGCTTTAGAAAGGCCTCCAGGATTTCTATGGTTTGGGGGATCGATTACTAGGAGGGGCGTATCAACGAATTACTATCATGGAATGGATGTCCCAACCAAATCTTCCTACCTCTTCTTCTCACTGTGTTTACACCCTGTGTCTGTTATGTAGAATATACAATATAAACGTTTTCTTTGCAAAGGAACGTAGTGACTAAGCACATAAAGAATTTTCTTAAGGGCTCCATGTGTTACGCAAATCATCTTGCAATTTAAAAGTATATTTCGCTAAGATATCCCGTGATGCAATAGGGTCCCATGAAAAAAAATCTTTTATTGACTTAGCTGTATTTCCGTAGTGATATAACGCAAGGCATGCTGGACGTCTGGGCAGATCTGGTGAATTTCGTGAGCGGAAGCGTCCAGTAGAGGTTGAAGCAAGTCATTCATTTCTTGTAGAACGGAAACAGACTAGGGGAAAAAGGAAAAAAAAAAATGCATACTCTGGTACTAATTTTCCGCGGACTGGAAAGATTCCAAAAACCAAATGGAACGACTTTTGGTTCCTTGGTACAGCGATAGAAACATTTTGGAATCTGCAGAGCACCCGAAAAGCATGAGAAATGTCCTAAGTGTGC